CCCAGCTGAGTATGGTAGTGTGTGCCTGTGGTCCCTGCTGAGTATGGCAGTGTGTGCCTGTGGTCCCTGCTGAATATGGCAGTGTGTGCCTATGATCCCAGCATGTAGAAGGTAGAGGCAATAGACTCAAGAGTTCAAGGTCATCTTCTAGTTCTAGGACAACCTAGACTGCATGAGACCCCACATCAAAAACATGAAACAATGAATACATTTATTTTCACTGTTATATATTTGGAAACTTTCTGTAATGGTTTTGTTATTTTAGGACAAGGTCTCACTATAGCCTAGACTAGCCTAGAATTCACAGCTGTCCTATGATGCCTCCAGACTGTTAGGATTACAGGCACATGCCACCATGCCTGGCTGATAAGTTTTGTTTGTTGTTTTTTTTAGGCTAAAATAAAATATTGTATTTAAATTCATTCAGACGTATCTTATTTTCCTACCTTTCCTCTTGATTGATGTTTATTATAAGCAAATTATTCTATCCTTGGATATTTTGGCTTTTTAGAAGTTTCCTGCTTGAATGTATTTCTACAGATAACACATTTCCAGAATCTCTGAAACATTAGGTTTTATTCTCCAACAGTAGTTACCATTTTGAATGGGAAGGTCCTCTGTCATTTCATAATGCCCTGCTAGTATAAAGTATGAAGGGCTAATGTAAGGGATTGGTCAGTAGAAATGTTTTCCCATGCCCTGCATGGTGGCATGTGCTAGAGCCAACTGTGCTGTGGGATAGGTGGAGTATATGCCTGTGGATGTGTGTATTTTCAATTTTAATTATATTTTGAAAAATATACTTGTATTTTCAAATATATTTTATATTTTAAATATTATATTTAAGTATTATCTATGTTAAATAAATGACAGAAAATAAGATGACGGACTCAATATTGTGATGTTTATATTATGAAAACAAAAAAGCTTTAGTTGGAAATTTAGAGAAAGATTACTTTGAAAATATTAAAAAGTGAAGAAAGTAAGCAAAAAAAAAAAAAAAAAGGAAAAACCGAAGTAATTTGGTATTTATCTCAGTATTCTAAAAACTGCTACAAAAGCGTGATATTGTATTGTTGTTGAAAATTAAGTTCTGAAGGTTGGGATGTAGTCCTCGTTAGAGTATGTGCCCCCAAAGCATGAAACCCTGGGTTCAATCCCTATTGCTTTATGAAACTGGGCATAATGGTGCAGGTCTGATCTCAGCACCAAGTGGGCAAAAGTAGGTCATCTTTGTCTAGCAAGTGAGTTCATTATAAAGATTTGAGATATATGAGACCTTATCTCAAACAGAAAAGAGAAAATTCAATTTCTGTAATTGGAATTTCATTTAACTCAGAGTTGCAAATTCCTTCTGACTCCCTCCCTCCCTTTCTCATTCCCTCCCTCCCTCCCTCATTCCCTCCCTCCCTCCCTCATTCCCTCCCTCCCTCCTTCTCTCCTTTTGATCTTCCTCCTTCCTCCTTCCTGCCTTCCTTCTTCCTTCTCTCTTCCCTTCCCTTCTCTTCTCTTCCCTCCTTCCCTCCTTCCCTCCTTTCTGTGAATGCTTACGATTGAACCCTGAGCCTAGTGCATGATCTGAGCATGCACTTTATACCTTCAGCTGCCTTCCATAATAAATTAGAAATGTAGTTAGGTGACTTAAAGCACAAGCCTAATGTAATTGCAGTGTCGACTGGAAATTTTACCGACTATTTCCCAATTCTCAGAAGAATGTTGCTTATAAGAAAAAATATTTGAAAGAATAGGTAATACTTCAAAGCTGGACTTTCTTTCTCTTCACTTTTTCTCTTAAGTAATTTAGTGGAGGAGCCTAGAGAGATGGCTCAGCAGTCAAAAACATGGCTGCTCTTTCAGGGGCCCCAGTTGATTCCCAGCATCTGCATGGTGTCTCACAACCATGGAACTCCAGTTCTAGGAGATCCAGTGCCCCCTTTTGGCCTTCACAACTACAAAGATGCATGTAGTGCACAGACATACATGTAGCCAAAACATCCATACACATAAAATAATAAAATAATGGGTTTGGAATGGATGCCTAGAAGGAAAACTCTGTGGACTCTAGGAATTAAAATTCTGAGTACAAAATACACTGAACAGCAAAACCAAAATAAAATACATTTATGTTGGTAATCTTTTACAAAGTTCACCTCACTATAAAGAACCTAATGGTTTTCTTATTGGTCCTACTTAGAAAGTAACAGTGGAAGCAATGGCAATAAATAGAAGATACTATATTCTCCCAATATGGGATTAAAATAACTCAGAATTATCTAATATTTCCTCTCTTTTTCTATTAAGTTGCTATAGCCCAAGGTGGAACAATCCAGATTTCTAACCCAGGATCTGATGGTGTTCAGGGACTCCAGGCATTAACAATGACAAATTCAGGAGCTCCTCCGCCGGGTGCTACAATTGTACAGTACGCAGCACAATCAGCTGATGGCACACAGCAGTTCTTTGTCCCAGGCAGCCAGGTTGTTGTTCAAGGTATATTTTATTAATCTAATGCATCTAGAATACCTGTGTCACACATTTTAGTGTCTGTCTATAGTATTGTGAAATATACTGGGGTAGAGTTTTAGGAGGGGTAGGGAATCACTTAAAAAACATTCAAAGAAATGTTTATACTTCAGAGAAGTTAAAGTATGATTTTTACTGACTCTGAAGAAAGGGTAATTTTAGAGAGGCTAATGTCACATGCTGTACCTAGTGTATTTTAAAAATTTGTTTATATTTTGCTGTGTGTGTGTGTATGTGTGTGTTCATATGTGAGGGTGCACAGTGTTCATGCCATGGTGTGAAGTCAGAGGACAACTTTGTGGAGTCTTGGCTCACATTTTATGTGGGTTCTGGAGATCAGACCCAGCTTATCAGGCGTGTGTAGCAAAAATCCTTTACTGACTGAGCCATCTCACTGGCCTCCAGCATATTTCTATTACTTTTTATGGGGGTATTTAAGTATATAGTCAGTGATATCTTGAATTTGTTCTTTTTTCCTAGCTTATTTTCCAAGTCTAACTTTCACACAACTCATTCCAAACAAGTGCTGATCTGTATATCTTTTAGACCCTTTTTAGTATGAAGACTCTTTAAAAAAAAGATTTACTTTTTTATGTATATGAGTACACTGTAGCTGTCTTCTGACATACCAAAAGAGGGTGTCAGGTCCTATTTCAGATGATTATTGAGTCATAACGTGGTTCAGGACCTCTGAAAGAGCAGTCAGTGCTCTTAACCACTGAGCCATCTCTCCAGCCTGACTAGTAGATTCTTTTTTTTTTTTTTTTTTTATCTTTTCATATTTTTTTTTAATTTTTTTATTGGATGTTTTATTTACATTTCATATGTTGTCCCCTTACCCCATCCCCCACCCACCCAGGAACCCCCAATCCCCTCACACCTCCTCCTTCTTCTTTGTGGATGTAACCTCTATCTACCCCCCCACTCCCACCTCCCCACCCTCAAAACTCCCACCCCCTGGGGCGTCCAGCCTTCATGAGGTCAAGGATCTCATCTTCCACCTGTGCCCAGCAGGGCCCTCCACTCTTATATATTCAGCTAAGGCCCTGGATCCCTCCATAAGTGCTCCCAGGCTGGTGGTTTAGACCCTGGGAGCTGTGGTTGGTTGGTATTGTTGCTCTCCTCATGGGGCCACAAATCCTTTCAGCTCCTTCAGTCTTCACTCTAACTCCTCCATTGAGAACCCCATGATCACTTCAATGGCTAGTTGTGAGCATCTGCCTCTGAATATGTCAGACTCTTGAAGACCTCTGAGGAGACATCCATATCAGGCTCTTATCAGCATGCACTTGTAGATTCTTTATAGCTCTTATGAAAGGAGTCTATAGTGAAATAAAACAAGATGTAGCCATAAGCTTTTAGGATTACATATAAGTTCAGTTCAAACTGGGTCATAGATTATTTTAATTTCATTCAGCTGTGTTTATGATAAGTATAAAACATGTATTTAATACAACTTAAAATCATGTTTTAATTCTAATCTTTTGGATCTATTTGTCTAGAATGTATCACACTCACTTTAAGGAAAGTAATATCTGTTCTTCTGAATTTCTTGGAAATATGCCCCAGCTGACTTAGAATGAAGAAATTCCCCTGTCTCAGCTTCTTGAATGCTGAGCTTACAGTCACGTGCAGTGGCATGCCTGGTTGATGAATCCTTCTATTCTTATGTACTTGGGGGATGAATGTGGGGTATAATAAGAGAATACCGAGTCTGAAAAGTTCTGGAGAGATGGCTCCGTGGTTCAGAGTGCTTGCTGTACAGTCATGAGCACTAGAGTTTAGATCTCAGCAAGTTAGATGCAATGCATATGCCTGTAACCACAACTCCAGAGGGTGGAGATAGAAGGATTTCTGACTTCCAACCTAGCTGAGAAAACTGGAACCCTAGGTTAAGAAAGAGATCCTACCTCAAAGAAATCATCAGAGAGGAGGAGAACTGGCCATACATACACATATGCACATATACTTAACACAGCACAGAAACATATATAAACAACAAACTAAACAAGTAAATCTAACCTTAAAATAAGAAGAAAGACTGAAGTTGGTTATATTAGTGCATGACAGTAATTTCAGTACTTGGGAGGCTAAGGGTTGCTCTGAGTTTTAAGCGAGCCTAGACTAAGAGTTCCCAGTCAGCAAGGGTTCTATAGTGACCACACAAACAAACAGTAAAACAAAGACAAAAAAGTGGTGATATTTTATGGGGAGAAAATACTATTTACATGCTAATGTTTATCTTAGATTAAAATTAAAACCATTTTTAAATTTTTCCTATGCTCAAACCTTGTTTTTCTAAATGAATAAAGAAGAGTCTTTTCTTCTCATATCACCTGTTTTACATGGAGAAATTGACACTGCAAAATTGGTACTATAAAAAAAGTTTTTAGACGTTTTCATGTTTTATGTTATTACTATATACCTAAGTTTTATGCCTTGGGGGTTAAAAATCATTTTCTTCTATAATTTTCAAACCTATATTCACTTTGTGTGTGGGGTATACATGTATATCAGGTACATGTCTGTATCTGGGTGGGTTTCTTTCTTTCAACTGCTGGGATTTGTAGGTATATGCTAGGCTTGACTTTTTACATAGCTGGGGACCAAGCTTGGATCCTCAAGCTTGTATGTCAAGCACTTTACTGTCTAAGCACCTTTCCAGCCTCCCTTTTGCTTTTTCTATTTTCTGTTGGAAACTCATAGTTACCCTTCACACTTTCTACCCCTTTCTGTCCAAATCCCCTGTATAGACACTTCCCCATGGTTAAGTTAAAAGGTTTTCATTTCTCCTCCTCCTGTCATCAGCCTATCAAGGCAGCTGTCCCTGTGGTCTGGATGACCACAACCATCAGCCTTCTTGGAGCTGAGAGCTGTAGCAACTTTTTAATAGTTCCTGGCTCAGTTTTGAGAGAACACTATGTCAGAGTTCACTTAAATTCTTGTCATCACCTTCTAGTGATTCTGGGCCTCTTAATACTTTTTATAAAGATGTTATCTCCAATATCTCTGCTTCTTTAGTACACTCTTGTGTCTGCAGGTTAGAGTGGATGCCCCAATATTCCACTTACATTCCCTAAATCTGTTCAAATTGAGATATAATCCTATAGACTGGATTGCTTTCATAATTCACATATATACTGGGAAGTCTATGAATCTCAGGGTCTCTGGAGTGCCTGCTGATTCACATAAGCCATTATCTGTCTTCTATACATGGTGGAAAAGACAAGGGGCTCTCTAGGGCCTGTGTGTTAAGGACATTAAACCCAATTAATGAAATCTTGTTATATAACTTTTCCTGAGAAACGTGAACAAATGTCTGTCAACCCAAGCTGGGGTGGCAGTGGGAATGATTGTTTCCAAGTCTGGTGCTGTGAACCTGTGCGTTGATTGGTTGCTTAGAGGAGTACATGTGGATGGTCACTTTTAGGAACATGGGGATTCAAGTGCAGCTGCATCACAGAAAAGATCGTCGCAGCATAGCTGATGGCCTGGTGCTGCCTGTCCATCCTGATGGCTTGGTGCTGCCTGTCCATCCTGCAGGCAGGCAGCTCTAGGGTGGGGAGAGTCTCTTCTGCCCAGCACCCATTATTACTTGTGGAGTAACCATGGGCAGGGGCTCATAAATCTTAGTTTCTGGAGCGTCTGGGACACTTGTTTACTTGTGAGTCTTAGAGGCCTCATCTTCTCACTAGAAGAAGGGAAGGGGTATTTTCATTAGAACAAACTCATTACACAGAAGAACTCTACTCTCAAAATGTAACTACTTCCAATCCTGTTGCACTGGGGTTAGGATCTCAACCTAGGAATGAGGAGTTGTATACTCACTTGCTCTGTAGCATAGTAGCATAGTAGCATAGTGTCAGACTACACTGAGGATGCCAGCGAATGCTAGGCATGTGCTAGGCAAAGAGACATCCTTTGTGTTGCCTACCTCTTCCTCCTATGTAGAGCTTGTTCTTTCTCAGCCTTCCCTCATTCCGCCTGACATGTAATCCCATTTCTTTCATTTCCTCTGACAGTCCTTTTTTTCCTCCACAGCCTTCATATCTACTCCTTGTCCTGACAGGCACTCTTTCCTCAGCTTCTATACATTATTCAGGTTTCATCTTAGATAACACCTCCTCCAGAAAGACTTCTCTGTCTGGCCTTCCAAATCTGGCCTAGGCAACCCCACAGTTCCCAGTCCATTTTCTTAGGTAATGGAGCACTGTCACTCTGTGTCCCACTTCAATGCTAAGTTCTATTTGCATCACAGCCTTTAGTATCTACCAAGATCTGTCATGTGATAAATGTAAACATTTTCCAAATTACATGTCTATAATCCCAGCACTTGGAATTATCAGTCTGAAGGCTACAGAGGGAGGCTCTGGTCAAATAAGAAAAAAGGCTCCCCCCTATATCTGAAAATAAAAGCTCAGATCAATAGTTTAGTGTAGGTAGGGCTGTATTAAAGCCTTCCTAATAGCAGTAGTCACCTCCACTTTAAAAATTACATTTGCTTTTTATGTGTGGGCATGGGTAATCATACCCATGTTAGAGGACAACTTGCAGGAATTAGTTCTCTCCTTCCAACAAGTAGGTCCTGGTGATCCAACTCAGGTTGTCAGGGTTGGTAACACATGCCTTTATCTACTGAGCCATCTCATGGGCCCCTTTCCCTCTTTTATACAGTATTTATTAGCTGTCAATGTGTAAGTTTAAATAAATATTGAGATAAAAAACCTAGATTCTGAAATTTGAAATTAGGATTATTAATATTATTCTGAACCTTAGAGCCTTAGGTGTACCTGGATGGCAAAGAGCCCCTGGTAGAGCCTTGTTGAGACTATCCACAAGTCCTCATCTTTAATCTTCAGTTGCAATTCCAGTTTCATTTCAAGGACTCTGCAAAACCAGTAGAAACATGAATGATCTCTGGTCACCTCACCTATGCTACAACATAAAGTTCTTGCCTTTACTGCAGC